GGAGCTGAGCATCAGCAGCCTAAGAAAGCCGAGGCAGAATCCCAGCAGCTCTGGTAGTGATGACTTGCACTTAAGGACCAAGGAGTCCAAAAGGCCAAGAGAAGATTCATCCCTGGAGGGCATGTCATAGAGGAAGTGAGAATGAAGGAGCTTTGCTATTCTAATTTGGGAGATGCCAGAGAAAGTGAGAGCCAGAGCCAGATAAAGGAGGAAAACCAGGAGAGATATTTGAGAGAGGTGACTAATCTTCAAACAATACCTACTGAAAAAAAGCTTCTGAAATGTACTGAATGTGGGAAAGCCTTTAGTTACCCCTCACATCTTACTCTACACCAGAGTATTCACACTGGAGAAAAAAAATCTCTCATATGCAATGACTGGGAAATCCTTCAATCACAAATCAAACCTCACAGCACACCTGAGGATTCACACTGGAAAGAAACCTTTCAGATGCAATGACTGTGGGAAATCCTTCAGCCAGAGATCATATTGACCTTGTATCAAAGGATTCCTACTAACAGAAGCCATTTCAATATGATATGTGTGAGAAAGCCTTCTGAAGCAAGTCCACATACCTTATTAACCATCAAATGATTCATACTGGAGAAAAGCCTTACATATGTAATGAATGTGGGAAAGCATTCATTTATAGTTCAGATCTTCTCAAACTCCAGAGGATTCACACTGGAGAGAAACCTTTTACATGTAATGAATGTGGAAGAGCCTTTAATCAAAGCTCAAGCCTCATAAAACATGAGAGGATTCACAATGGAGAGAAGAGTTATACATGTAATGAATGTAGAAAAGCCTTCAGGCAAAGCTCAAAGTTGCATACACATCAGAGTGTTCACATTGACAAGAAAACTTCTGTATATAAGTAATATGGAAAAGTCTTCAATCACAACTCAGCCCTTACTGCCTGGCAGAAGTTTCATATTAGACAAAGCAGAATAAACACAATTAAATGTGGAGAAGAATTTATGTAGAGCTCAAACATTGTTCTTTGGTCATTCAGACTCTAAGGTCATTCTGACTCTTTGTGACTGTCAACAGGGTTGTCTTGGTAATGATATTGAAGTCGTTTTCCATGTCTTTCTCAAGTTGATCCAGTGCATCCTTTTATGAGACAAACAGAAGTGAAATGACTTGTCTAGGGTCACACACCTAAGAAGTGTCTCAGATTGGCTTTGAACTCATATCTTCCTGACTTCAGGCCCCATGCTGTATCCACTGTGAAGCGATTTAGGATTTTCATATTAATTGATATGATATGTATAATAAATATACTAATAATTTAGATTTCTCAGAGCTGCCTCTTATGGCTTGGGAGTCAGAAGCTACAATGCAGCTTGAAATGATCAATCAAACCCTTGACAATGCTCTCAAATAAATATGTTCTTGTGCCTGTGTGCATTAAACGAAGCAAATAAAAGACTGCAGAACTTGTTCCCATCACAGAACTCTGGTCCTGTGCTCCACCAAGTAATGACCACCAAAGACCTGAAACAATACTATTCCTACAAGACTCTATTGTCCTACCTCTATTGCCCTGCATTCATGGGCTTGTCATGGGAAACCACTCAGGCCCTGGAAATGATTGTTTTTAATCCACTTCCCACTCACTTCTCACTTGTGATTCATATATATATATATATATGTGTGTGTGTGTGTGTGTATATATATATATATGTGTGTGTGTGTGTGTGTATATATATATATATATGTGTGTGTGTGTGTGTGTGTGTATATATATATATATATATATATATATATATGCTGTGCCTTTACTGTAGCACAGAAAGCATTCCTCACTCTGAAAGTAATTAAATAAACTGCTACTTGTTTCCTGGTACTCCTTTCTCTGGCCTGCTTTGTGGGGCTCTGGGTATTCACAGGTTAGAGATGGGTCCTATCCAGACTACATGTAAAATTCTGTTAATACCTCTGAACTACCACTAAAGACAATGGGAAAAAATAATCACAAAAAAAATTAGAAGAGAATGGTCCAAAGTTACAAACAACCAATATGGCTTCCAAAGGAGAGATGAAGAAAGATGCCAATTCTTAACAGAGGAAGAAGTCCAAATATGTGGAATGTTGCTTAAGTTTTCAGATTCTTTCCTATGTATTAATTGGGGTTTGGGGGGGGAGTTTTTAAAATTATGGTTTAAAAGTTTTTAATATTTTTATTTAAAGTTTTGAGTTCCAAATTCTATCCCTCCTACCTTCCCTCTCCTCCCTGCTCTTTGAGATGGTAAGCAATCAGATGTAGGTTAAACGTGTGCAATTATATAAAATATTTCCATATTAGTCATTTTGTACAAGAAGACACGAATAAAAAAAGAAAGAAAGTGAAAAATAACATGCTTCAGTCTGTATTCAGTCAATATCGGTTCTTTCTCTGGAGGCAAATAGTATGCTTCATCATTAGCCCTTTGGGATTATCTTGGATCACTGTATTGCTGACAGTAGCTAAATCATTCACAGTTTTTCATCAAACAATATTGCTGTTACTGTACACAATGTCTCCTCCAAACCTCATCAAAAGGCTCAAGTCTGACCAAACTTTATGAACAATTCTTAAAACATATCCAAAGACAGTTACTAAAAATATCCAAAGTCCATATATTTAGGCATTTGTCTGGAGAGACATTTGTAGATATTCAAATGGAGCTGAAACAAGTTCAATAATTCCACCAGGGTAGTTTCTCCTTCAGTAGTACCTCTAGGATAAAATTTAAAATATCTCCTTTAGGACCAGCATTTTTTACTTGGCCTTCTACACTGTTTTTCACAGCATGACAGCAAAAATTTTAAGGTTGTCAAAAGAACAACTACAACTATTATGTGTCTTTTACCCAAGGGAAAACCTTTGGAAATCAATCAAATATATCCTAATCTCTAAGTGGAAATAGTCTTAATCTTGATGCTTTTCTCAAAGTGAAGTTTTCTAATCTATTAAAAAATTAAAGCTTTTATGTCTTTTTAAAAAAAAAACACTAAATAAAAATCCTAAAAATCAAAGGAGAGATTAATGAAATTGAAAGTAAGAAAACCACTGAACTAATAAATAAAACTAGGAGCTGGTTTTATGAAAAAAAACAATAAAATAGATAAACCATTGGTTACTTTGATTAAAAAAAGAAAAAAAAACAAATCACCAGTATCAAAAATGAAAATGATGAATTCACCACCAATGAAGAGGAAATTAAAGCTATTATTAGGAGCTATTTGCCTAATTATACGCCAATTAACCTGACAATCTATATGAAATAGATGAATATTTATAAAAACATAAATTTCCTAGATTAACAGAAGAAGTAGAATACTTAAATAATTCCAGCTTAAAAAATAAAGTGAACAAGCCATGAATGAGCTCCCTAAGAAAAAAATCTCCAGCATCAGATGGATTCACAAGTGAATTCTACCAAACATTTAAAGAACAATTCATTCCAATACTACATAAACTAGTTCGAAAAACAGGCAAAGAAGGAGTCTTACCAAATCCCTTTTATGACACAAATACAGTGATGATACCTAAACCAGAAAGAGCAAAAACAGAGAAAGAAAACTATAGATCAATTTCCCTAATAAATATTGATGCAAAAAAATTAAATAAAATACTAACATGGAGATCACAGCAATATGTCACAAAGATCCATACACTATGAGCAGATGGGATTTATACTATGAAGTGTTATTTCAATAGTAAGAAAACTATCAGCATAATTGATAATATCTATAACAAAACCAACAGAAATCATGAGATTATCTCAATAATTACAGAAAAAGCTTTTGACAAAATACAACACCTATTCTTATTAAAAACAGTAGAGAGCATTGGAATAAATGGAGCTTTCCTTAAAGTGGTAAGTAGTATTTATCTAAAACCAATTAGCAATTATTATAATGAGAATAAGCTAGAAGTCTTCCCAATAAGATCAGAGTTGAGAAGCAAGGATGCCCATTAACACTATTGTTCAATATTATACAAGGAATGCTAGCTACTTTGTAATAAGAGAACTGAAGGAACTATAATAGGCAATGAGAAAACAAAACTATCACTCTTTACAGATGATATGATGGTATATTTGGAGAATCTCAAAGTATCAACTAAAAAACTAGTTGAAATAATTAACAAGTTTAGCAAAGTAGCAGGATATAAAAACTATATAAAATACAGTTGCAGGGACAAGAGAAGTTTGGGAGGAACAGCAGAGACACCAGAAGGTGGAGTGAGCAGGTAGGAACAGCGTCACAACATAGTACACAGCAATAACTAGGTGCAAGCCCAGCAGAAAGCAGAAGCTAACAGAAAGGCCCAGAGAGATATGTGGAACATCAGAAGACATGAGACACCTTGGTGTCCCTCTGGTGTCACAGATGTGAACTACCTGCAACAATTGTGCCCTAACCAGATGCACAATCCACTCACATAGCATATGGGGGGAAGAACATTCCCATATTTGTGGGGCGCATGTTCCATTTTTACTTTTTTTCCATGCTATTTCATCAAATGCCTTTGCTATGAACTAATGATGGCTTCTAGGTGACTACTAAAAGTTAACACATCAGTGGAAGATCATGAGGTGTTGTTCTAGGTGAATATAGGGTAACTTGAATTTTTGGTGATTCATGTGCTCTACATCTTTTACCCCCATCATTATACCATATAGTTCGCAATTTCTCACAATAGTCATTTAAAATGTTTGCCAAATTGAGTTTGTGTATATTTGAAAACAAAATTTGTAATTAGGAATTTTTTTTCAAAAACATAACCAAGACTACTTAAATGCTGTATTTTTAAATGTCATTCTCTTATTCAATTCCTAAAATATTAGAATATTTTGACAAAAAAATAACATTTTTAAAAGTACAAATGCCACACAAGTTCCTAATTAAATATATTCAATATATATATATATATATATAAGCACTAACAGGGAAGCTTTAGATAAACAATTATGCTACTAAAAAAAAAAAAGCATAGTCTTTCTCACCAGGCAATCCTCTATCAGGAACAGAAGGATTTCTGGGTCCTGAAAGTATAAAAAGTGGAAAAAGAAGGTGTGTATTCCATCCATCCAACACTTCTCCTATCTGGTCTTTCTCATCTACATTAAAAAACTTTTGGCGGAAGGGAAAGCGCAGGTGGTAGTCAACCTACAGAGAGTAAAAAGAAAAAAAGTTCAATTCTATAAGATGCTAAAATTCATGGGAGAAAAACACTTAGGCCCAAAGTTTACAGCTGATTAAAGAAATAGATAGTGCCTAGGAAACATGGTAAATGTCCAAGTGGACAAATTAAAAACTGTCAGTGTCAAAGAACAAGAGTAACCTTGCCTTGAAACATCCAGCAAATCCTACCAGTGTCCACTCCAGTGGATTGTGTTCATTTGTTTTCACTATTTTCTCTTCACCTACTAACATCTCAAAGAAGTTTTCAGAAGCCCTAAACGCTAGCAGCCCCATCAATCATTACCAAACAGAATAAATGGATGAACTCTCAAAACACCCCTTATGGATTCTTATTGGTTCTGGGCTCCTTGCTCCAAAACAGGAGCCAAGACTTACTGCGCCAGCCACTTATAAATCTTTCCTTTTACCTCCCTGCAAAAAGATACTAGATCTGAGCCATTATGAGTCGATCTTAGCCCCAAATCTTAACCATTCTTCCAGTCAAGCAACTGAACATTTACATCCTGCACCAAAAGAGCAAGGACTTGGGGACCAGCATGCTCTTTCACAGAATTACACAGCTAGAGGGGACTGTGAGAGATCAACTGGTCTAGCCTCCTACTTTAAACCAACCTTTTGTGTACCTACTAGTCAGGGATACTAGACAACAACAGGACATTCTGAAATCTTCTATTCCAATTTTTAAGAACTTGATAGAGCTCCCTGACAGAAAAGAACTAAATTAAGGTAGATGGGTGAAATAGATAACAAAGTAACTTGGAGATCTCAACCAGAGGAAAGACTACATTAAAAATCATCGAGCCCAGTCAGAATAAGACAGCTTTAAAAAAAAAATTTCCTTACCTTAAGTGGCAGGCAAGCACTTTTGTTTGTGATCTGAGTAAAAGCAATTGTAGAAAACGTGTATGAGAAGCCATTTTCAACATTTTCTTCAGCATACGCTTTAACTGAAAAGGAAGAAGTCAAGCAGTGCAATAAAAAAATGTCTAATCACCACTTTTACCTTAGGGGGAAAAAAAGTGGCAGCATATTCTACAAACATGTTAGGTATGGCAAACTTCAAAACATTCTGGGGCTCTGTAAAACTTTTTTTCATCCACAAATTCTTCTCTTACGGAAGGAGACAGATCATAATAGTGGCTGTCAAAATAAATATGCATTGCTCTATTTCAACCTAATTTCATACCAGAAAGAACATTGTCAAATTAGATGTTTCTTCCACTAATTCTACATCTTAATCTTCTGATTTCCTTTAAACCTATCACAAGCTGATGAAAGATAAAGGAAGGAAAAGGAACGAGAATTTATTAAGTGTCTCCTGGGTGCTTTACAAATATTTTCTAATTTGATCCTACCTATAAGGCAGGTGTCATTATGACCCTCATTTTACATCTGAAGAAACTGAGGTAGATCACAGTCACTTGACTTCCCTAGGATCACACAGCTAGTAAGTATCTAACATTTCATGTCTTCCTGACTCCAAGCCCACTGAGCTCTAGCCACTGTGCCACCTAGCCACCTAGCTGCCTAAGGGGTTTACTAGCATTACTTATTGGTTAGTAAAGGTATTTCCTTCTTTAGAACAAATTGCAATAAGTATATGCTAAAAATGAAACAGAAACACTACAGTGGTTAAGACCTGAAAGTAAACAACCAATCATAAGCACCCAACAGGACAAAGAATAATGCAACGTTCTTCCAAAACGATCATCAAGCAGCCAGAGCAAATATGGTGAAGAAAAGGCAGGGACTCCCCTGAGCTCTCCCCCAAACTCCAACAAATGCCTTTAAATAATGCCCTAAAACAAATCCTGAAGTGGCATAACTCACAAAAGGACATGGTAAAACAATTTTCAGCCCAAGACAACTTAGAAGGTCAGCAGGAAAGGTCTGCTGCACCAAGGTAAGAATGGAGTGGAGTCCAGTGCATGCTACACCAGCATAGACTGGGTCCCAGCAAACCAGGAACAGGTCTTGGGAGCCACTGAATCAGCAGTGGCAGTGACTGTTTCTGGAGCTCTCAGCTCACAAATGGTAAGGGGGTCAAACAATTGGTCAGAAGGAGATTACAGAGGTCTCTTAGCCAGCACTGGGTCAGGAATATGTTGCTTTGCCCATACTCGGATCCAAACTGCAGTCCTGGGTGGCAGTCCAGGGGTGAAGAGGAACACTAGCACACCAGAGCTTGCAGCTGCAGTGGAGCAGGGACCCGCTTCATAGCTCCAGGGCAAAAAAAAAAAAAAATAGAGTGCTTGAGGTTACTCACAGACCAGAGCACAGGCCAGGAGAGTAGGTCATACCACCTTGAAAGAACTGGAAACTTACAGGTCCCTAGAAGTATCTCTGAAAACAGCTGCACAAAACCCCTGAAGCTTAGAATGGTGTGCCCTCCACTCTGGAAGCAGAGCCCCACTTTAGCAAGGAGTGAAAAGACAACAAACAGGCTGGGGAAAATGAACAAACAATAGAAAAAAATTCTGAAATTTACTATGGTGACAAGGAAGATCAAAACACACACTCAGAAGAAGACAAAAAAGTCAAAACCCCTATATCAAAGCCTCAAAGAAAAATAGGAATTGGTGTCAGGCCATGGAGGAGCTCAAAAAGGATTCTGAAAATCAAGGAAGGAGGTAGAAGAAAAATTGGGAAAAGAAATGAGAGTGATGCAAGAAAATCATGAAAAAACAGTCAACAGTTTGGTAGAGGAGGCACAAAAAAATACTGAAGAAAATAACACCTTAAAAAGCAGACTAGGGGGACAGCTAGGTGGCACAGTGGATAGAGCACTGGCCCTGAAGTCAGGAGGACCTGAGTTCAAATCCAGCCTCAGACCAAACACTTTACACTTGCTAGCTGTGTGACCCTGGGCAAGTCACTTAATCCCAATAGCCCAAAAAAAAAAGCAGACTAGGCCAAAAGGTAAAAGAGGTACACAAATCCAGCGAGAAGACAAATGCCTTGAAAAGCAGAGTTGGTCAAATTGGAAAAGACAGACAAAAATTCAGTGAGAAGAAGCCTTGAAAAGTAGAATTGGCCAAATGGAAAAAGAGGCACAAAAACTCACTGAAGAAAAGAACTCCTTAAAAAGTAGAATTGCCCAAGCAGAAAAGGAAGCACAAAAGCTCACTGAAGAAGATAATTCCTTAAAAATTAAAATTGAGCAAGTGGAAGCTAATGACTCTATGAGTCACAATAAAAACAAAAGGATGAAAAGATAGAAGACAATGGGAAATATCCCACTGGAAAAAAACAACTGACTTGGGAAAATAGAAGAAAAATAATTTTAAAATTATTGGACTTCCTGAAAGCCATGATCTAAAAAAGAGACCAACAATCATATTTCAAGGAAATATAAAGAAAAACTGCCCTGATATTCTAGAACCAAAGGGTAAAACAGAAACTGAAAGAATCCATTAATCACCTCCTGAAAGTGATCCCAAAATGTAAACTGCCAGGAATGTCACAGCCAAATTCCAGAGCTCTCAGGTCAAAGAGAAAATATTGCAAGCAGCCAGAAAGAAACAGTTCAAATATCATGGAGTCACAATCAGAATCACACAAGATGTAGCAGCTTTCATGCTAAAGAAGTAGAAAATTTAGAATATATCCTAGAAAGCAAAGGAACTAGGGTATAGAATAAACAAATATCGCCTACCCAGAAAAAGTGAGTATAATCTTGCAGAAGGTAAAAAATGGACATTCAATGAAATACAGGACTTTTAAGTATTCCTGATAAAAAGACCAGGGCTGAATAGAAAACCTTTCAAATACAAGACTCAAGAGAAGTATAAAAAGGTAAACAGGAAAGGGAAATCATAAGGGACTTAATAAGGTTAAACTATTTACAATCCTACAGGGGAAGATGATACTTGTAACTCATAAGAATTTTGTCATTATGAGGGCAGTTAGAAGTTTTATACACACACACACACACACACACACACACACACACACACACAGAGAAAGAGAGAGAGCACACAGGTGTGAGTTGAATATGATGGGATGTATCTTAAAAAATAAAATTAAGGAGTGAAAAATAGGAATGCACTATGAGAAAAGGAAAGAGAGAGTAGAATGGGGTAAATTATCTCACATAAAAGAGGCAAGAAAGAGCTTTTACAGTGGAGGGGAAGATGGAAAGGTGAAGGGGAACACTTGAACTAATTTACTCTCATAGGAACAGGCTCAAACAGAGAATAACATACACACTCATTTGGATACAGAAATCAATACTTACCAGGAAGTAGGAAGGGAATAGGATAAAAGAAGGTGGGTGGGGCTGATACAAGGGAGGGCAGATGGGGGAAACATGGTAGTCAGAAGCAAAACTTTTGAGGAAGAACTGAGTGAATAGAGAGAGAATAGAATAAAAAGGGGAGAAACAGGATGGAGGGAAATAGAGTTAGCAATCATAACTGTAAAAAATTTTTGAAGCAAGTTTCTCTAATAAAGGCTTCATTTCTCAAATATATAGAAAACTGAGTCAAATTTATAAAAAAAAAGAGCCATTCCCCAATTGTTAAGTGATCAAAAATATGAACAGTTTTCAGATGAAATAATCAAAGCTATCTATAGTCATATGAAAAAATGCTCTAAATCACTATTGATTAGAGAAAAGCAAATTAAAACAATTCTGAGGCACTACCTCACACCTATCAGATTGGCTAATAGGGCAGAAAAGGAAAATTAAAAATGTTAGAGAGGATGTGGGAAAATTGAGACACTGATGCATTGTTGGTAGAGTTGTGGACTGCTTCAACCATCATGTACACCAATCTGGAACTATGCCCAAAGGCCTATAAAACCATGCATACATACCCTTTGACTCAGCAATACCACTACTATGTCTCTATCCCAAAAGAGGAAAAGGACCTAGCTGCACAAAAATAGTTAAAGCACCCTTCTTTTCTGGAAATTGAGGGGATGCCCATCAACTGGGGAATGGCTAAACAAGCTGTGGTATATGATTGTGATGGGATACTATTGTGATCTAAGAAATGATGAGCTAGATGCTCTCAGAAAAACCTGGAAAGACTTACATGAACTGATGCAAAATTGAATGAGGAGAACTGGGAAACACTGTACACAGTAACAGCAATATTGTAAAATGATCAGCTGTGAATGACTTAGCTATTCTCAGCAATACAATGATCCTAGACAACTCTGTAGGACTCATATGAAAAATGCTATGCATCCCCAGAGAAAGAACTGATGAGGTCTGAATACAAATAGAGCATATTTTTTATTTTCTTTATTTTTCTTGGGTTTTTATTTTGGCCTATGTTTTCTTTTGCAACATGACTAATATGGAAATATGTTTTGCATGACTACACATAGTATAACCTATATCAAGTTGCTTGCCTTCTCAGTGGGGTGGGAGGGATAGAGGGAGAGAATTTGGAACTCAATTTTTAAAATGAACGTTGACATTTGGTTTTAAATGTAATTAGGGAAAAATAAAATACTAAACTAGAAAAAGAAACAAAGCAACAAAAAGATCATCAATCCCAAGGACTTCTGGTGAAAACTGCCCAAAATGAACTTTAATTTTGTGATGCAGACAAATGACTACAGAGAACAGAGTTCATCCACTCAAGTTTCACTTAAGACCTAATTATGAATTTATTATCCAAAATGCTGGTAATCTCTTGAAAAGTTCACAAGAGGCTTCCATGGCGGTGACTATTCAAAAAAATCATCTTTTTCTAAATATGAGAAGTGCACATGGGTAAAAGACATTGATATATATCCTTTGCCCAAGCAATAGCACTATTAGATCTGTATCTCAAGAGATAAAAACAAAAAATAAAAGGACCTATGTGTACAAAAATATTTATAACAGCTCTTTTAGTGGTGGCAAAAAAAAAATTGGAAATTGAAGGAATGCCCATCAACTGGGGAATGGCTGAACAAGTTGTATATGATTGTGATGTAATACTGTTGTGCT